TCTATACTTGGAATTTTTTGAAACAAGATTGCTTAACACAATCCTCCCTAATAGAGCAAAATGGTTCAGATATGTTGTTATTTTATGTCTTGTGCCCAAGAATGTAGATATACACCATTTCCTTGGCAAATTAAATAGCTTAGCCCATTCTATAAACTTTACTGTTGAGTTTGAGGAAAATAACTCATTGCCTTTTCTAGATGTTTTAATTATTAAGAGTAATAATGAATTCAAATATAAAATTTACAGAAAACCTACAAATAACTGCTCCTATGTACACTATTATTCTTCCCATCAAGATAGTTAAACTGTCTGTTTTCTCATCAATGTTTTTGAGAGCTTTACGTATTTGTAGTCCAGAGTTCATAGATGAAGAAATATCCAAAATTTATGAAATAGCCATTGATCTGAAATACCCGAGAAATGTAATTGATAAATTATTTAAAAATGCTAGAAATACTTTTTACAACCCAAAAAGGGACAACCAACTAAATTCAACTAAAAATATGTTGGTTCTCCCTTACCATGAAAACTTGGTTGATATGCCTTCTCTTCTTAAGACTTTTAATATTAAAGTTGTATTTAAAAATCTTGATACAGTAAAAAAAACTTTTGATAAAGAATTCCCCCCAAAATGTTGATGGATATGTCTATAAGATTCCTTGTAAAATTTGCGATAAAGTTTATTACTGTCAAACTGGTAAAAATCTCGAACTTAGATTAAAACAACATAAATATAGCATTAGAACTGGACAAGGTTCCAATGCTCTATTTATTCATGTGAGAGATTTTAACCATCCAATTGATTTTCAAAAAGTTGAGAAAGTTGTATCAAGCAAGTCCATGGTTGACAGAAATATAGTAATTGAATCTTATTTCATAAAAAGCAGTTTTGAAAATAATATGAATATTTCCTTAGGTTTATATAAATTACTCACTTATAATTAATAAAATTTGGTTAGAGTTTAATAATACATTGGACAAATAATAAACCTTATTTCTTGGGTAGAATATTTTGTTAGTGTGATGTCGTGAGGACCTATCTAGTTGGACCAGCGGACCTACTGCAGTGTTCCTCTTTTCTTATGAGTCCGGTATTGTCATGCGTCATGTGTTTCTTTGTTGTGGGGGTTGACTGTGAGGTGTAGCCTAAGCCCTTTAATTGCCTTCCTTTGATGTATTACTTTCATAGTACCTTGACAATGTGAGTAGTCACGAAAGTGCTTGGAATTTCACTGCTCTTTCACAGTGGTTGTTTTGCATATATTATTATTATTAACACACTGGCCGATTCCCACCAAGGCAGGGTGGCCCGAAAAAGAAAAACTTTCACCATCATTCACTCCATCACTGTCTTGCCAGAAGGGTGCTTTACACTACAGTTTTTAAACTGCAACATTAACACCCCTCCTTCAGAGTGCAGGCACTGTACTTCCCATCTCCAGGACTCGAGTCCGGCCTGCCGGTTTCCCTGAATCCCTTCATAAATGTTACTTTGCTCACACTCCAACAGCACGTCAAGTATTAAAAACCATTTGTCTCCATTCACTCCTATCAAACATGCTCACGCATGCCCGCTGGAAGTCCAAGCCCCTCGCACACAAAACCTCCTTTACCCCCTCCCTCCAACCTTTCCTAGGCCGACTCCTACTCCGCCTTCCTTCCACTACAGACTGATACACTCTTGAGTCATTCTGTTTTGCTCCATTCTCTCTACATGTCCGAACCACCTCAACAACCCTTCCTCAGCCCTCTGGACAACAGTTTTGGTAATCCTGCACCTCCTCCTAACTTCCAAACTACAAATTCTCTGCATTATATTCACACCACACATTGCCCTCAGACATGACATCTCCACTGCCTCCAGCCTTCTCCTCGCTGCAACATTCATCACCCATGCTTCACACCCATATAAGAGCGTTGGTAAAACTATACTCTCATACATTCCCGTCTTTGCCTCCAAGGACAAAGTTATTTGTCTCCACAGACACCTAAGTGCACCGCTCACCCTTTTCCCTTCATCAATTCTATGATTCACCTCATCTTTCATAGACCCATCCGCTGACACGTCCACTCCCAAATATCTGAATACATTCACCTCCTCCATACTTTCTCCCTCCAATCTGATATTCAATCTTTCATCACCTAATCTTTTTATCCTCATAACCTAACTCTTTCCTGTATTCACTTTTAATTTTCTTCTTTTGCACACCCTACCAAATTCATTCACCAACCTCTGCAACTTCTCTTCAGAATCTCCCAAGAGCACAGTGTCATCAGCAAAGAGCAACTGTGACAACTCCCACTTTGTGTGATTCTTTATCTTTTAACTCCAAGCCTCTTGCCAAGACTCTCGCATTTACTTCTCTTACAACCCCATCTATAAATATATTAAACAACCATGATGACATCACACATCCCTGTCTGAGGCCTACTTTTACTGGGAAATGATCTCCCTCTTTCCTACATACTCTAACTTGAGCCTCACTATCCTCGTAAAAACTCTTCACTACTTTCAGTAACCTACCTCCTACACCATACACCTGCAACATCTGCCACATTGCCCCCCTATCCACCCTGTCATACGCCTTTTCGAAATCCATAAATGCCACAAAACCTCTTTAGCCTTTTCTAAATACTGTTCACTTATATGCTTCACTGTAAACACCTGGTCCACACACCCCCTACCTTTCCTGAAGCCTCCTTGTTCATCTGCTATCCTATTCTCTGTCTTACTCTTAATTCTTTCAATAATAACTCTACCATACACTTTACCAGGTATACTCAACAGACTTATCCCCCTATAATTTTTGCACTCTCTTTTGTCCCCTTTGCCTTTATACAAAGGAACTATGCATGCTCTCTGCCAATCCCTAGGTACCTTACCCTCTTCCATACATTTATTAAATAATTACACCAACCACTCCAAAACTATATCCCCACCTGCTTTTAACATTTCTATGTTTATCGAATCAATCCCGGCTGCCTTACCCACTTTGATTTTACCTACTGCCTCACGAACTTCCCCCACACTCACAACTGGCTCTTCCTCACTCGTACAAGATGTTATTCCTCCTTGCCCTATACACGAAATCACAGCTTCCCTATCTTCATCAACATTTAACAATTCCTCAAAATATTTCTTCAGAGTACAAAACAAATTCTGGCCACAAAATAGAGCGAAACACCAACGTCAAAGACCTGGGAGTGATCATCTCTCCCAAACTCTCTACTCATGGGAACTCTTCTATCCTCTGCCTTCCCTACATTTCCGGTCTTTCTAATCTCAACAATTCTCTCCGTCCCTTAGACATTAAGCTTACCTTCCGCCAGACTAACACTTTTCGCACTAATCTCGTTCATACCTCTCCTCCCTCTACAGATGTTCCTGGTGTCTACTCTATTTCTTGCTCCTCCTGTCCTCTTCAATACTTCGGAGAAACTGGTCGATCTCTTTCTGACAGACTTAGGGAGCACAAAAATAGTGTTAGGCTTGCCGACACTAACAATGCTCTTTTCTGTCACGTCAGAGATCATAGCCATCCTATTGACTGGTCTTCTGCTAAAACTGTCTTCCCTACTTCCAACTCGAACAGTCGCCGTCTAGTTGAATCCTCTCTAATACAAAACTTTCCTTGTATGAACCTTAGCCCTGGCTTCGTCTCTGTTCTCTGTAGATGCCTTCCTCTCCCACTACATTGTAAAATGCTCCAAACTTCAGAACACCCGTGACTTAACCTGAATCCTCACTTTTTCTTTATCTTTTTCTTCTTCCTCTTCCCGTTTCCTCTCTCCTTTTCTCCTCTGGGTTGTCTTTCTCTCTCCTGTCTCGTGTTTCTGTTCCTTCTTCATTTATTTTATTTCTCCCCTTCCCCTTTCACGCACCTCGGTGCGCTTGCTCTCCCTCTGTGGGTATCTAGCTCTTGCAGTGCTCCCCTTCCTTTGTATTTGACTGGCTCGTCTTCCTTATTTCCCACTTCTGACGCTACCACTACTACTACCTCTTCTTCTACTACAACTACTGTTGAAATTAAGACACATGTGCGGCGTCTGGTTGTCTTCGTTGTGGACGTTTCGCCATCCAGTGGCTGGCTGGATGGCGAAGCGTCTACGATGGGGATGCCCGGGGTGTTGTGCGTGTGTCTTAGTTTTATCCTGTCGGTATTATATACAATTCTTGTACTACTACTACTACCACCTCTTCCTGCCTATATATAGCCGTCCTGCTCCACCTGTTAGTGTGACTTTGTCAATGGTCCAAGTCGGACCGAAACGTCGTCGTTAGCTTCTCTCTTTTATGTGCGGGTTATTTGTGTGTGTGTGTATATATATATATATATATATATATATATATATATATATATATATATATATATATATATATATATATATATATATATATATATATATATATATATATATCTGTACATTCAGAGGTATATATCTCAATGGATATATAGTTTTCTTTACCTAGTTTAACTATGAAAAGTATGTTCAGGTGACTTTCAGCCTTAATGACAGACATGGTGGGTTGGATAACAGGCAAGAGAAGTTTAGTAAAGAGCATACCTCCATTATAGGCTTTGTTTTGGTCTGTTTAGGGCGAAACATATTTACAGTAAGTCCCTTTCTGTTTTGCCCAGTGTTTAGGCTTAAAACTTGCCTGTGCTGACCAGCGCCTCTAGAGTTAAATGTTATCTTGACGGTATACAAGACAAGATAATGAATGAGTGTGCAACAACTGGGCACTTTATTGATGAATAAAGATACCCAGGTGTTGCACATGTTTTATTCATCACAGGTGAGTGTAATTTCTAGGTTGTGAAAGGGTATCATAATGATACCAATAAGATGTGGATGAAGGCGTGTAAAGTTATGGCTGGAAACTTTTCGCCTCGATTGGCTTCAGTCTTCCAGGCCAATGTGGGCGAAACATTTCGTTTCATAACTGTACGCATATGCCTGTTTTGGTAATTTCTAAGTTGTTGTACACTGACTGACGCGTGTTCGTGTATGTGGCGCAGGGAGGTAACAAGCGGCGGGGCCCCAGGACGACCATCAAGGCGAAGCAGCTGGAAATCCTCAAGAACGCCTTCGCCTCCACGCCCAAACCCACGCGGCACATCCGCGAGCAGCTGGCCAAGGAGACTGGCCTGCCCATGCGGGTCATACAGGTATGTCTAGGTCACTCTGTAGGTTGTTCCGTGTGGGTCATGCTGGGTGCCTCAGGTTGTAGCAACGTTAGTTATACACTATTGGTTTCGTTTGAGAGATTAAACAATCTGCCTCCCCTCCCCCCCAAATTTTTCAAACGTCGAAATGTTTATAAAGGGGGGGGGGGAGAGGAGTCAAAACCGCGTATATGATAACAGCACTATCACCGTTACCCGTTTACACCGTTAACCTTTGTTTATATCGTTTTAAGGCCCGTGTGTTCACTCGTACGCTTATTCCAAGTTCTGTTAAACCTACTGAGATTATTATTATAATAAAAAAGAAGTGCTAAACGTACGGAGATTAACAAGGGCGAAAATACATATCTTTTGTCAACTTTATCATTGTTTATGTAGCTTTGTAGGCTACTGTACTCGCGTAATTGTAGTTGTTGGGGTCGAATCATGTTTCCCGGCCCCGAGAGGTGTAGGTGGTTTTGCGATTATAATCAAGGGGGAAGCGCTAAACCCTTAGGATTATACAGCACCTGGGCGGGGGATGTGGAAGGCATTCAGGTTTTATTCGGGGAACTGGAGTACTGGTGGTTTTGCGAGTGTCGGAAAAAATGCACTTTTTTTTTTTTATGCAAGCCTAGCATGAGCCAGTAGGCTTGATTCAGCGCTTCTCTATGTTCTTTAATTAGAGTACACGAATTGGTTATTAAGAGCTTTAGATGTATTGTGCGTTTCGTAAAAAGAAAAATCCTGGCGGTAGATGGTGACTGAAAAATGTACCACTCTGGGTAACACTGATCTGAGAAATTGACGTATTTAGAATATTGATTTTATAGCTCTGCCCATTATTTCAGTTATTTTTAATGCATATTGTAACTAGTTTACCTATTATTTAACATAACGAAAATATCGTATACAGAAGATAGAACTACACAGAATGGGAACCAGAGGTAGTTGTCTCCCTTATCGAATTTCAACACACGATGTTGAAATATTTGGTCGAGCCTGAGGTGGGGAGATGTCAGTAGTGTGTCAGCCTGAGGTGGGAGATTTGAGTAGTGTGTCAGCCTGAGGTGGGGAGAAGTCAGTAGTGTCAGCTTGAGGTGGGGAGACGGCAACCTGCTAACAGGACAATGAGGATATTAAGTATTCCATTAAAGGTTCCCCAGCTATGGCAGCTTGAAAAGACAGAGTCCAGCAGCGCCCTAGTTAATATCACTAGGGAATTAGCAGCGAGCGGGGAAAGAATAATAAAATGTGAAGCCTAGGAAGAGTAGCTGTGAGGCCTTGAATCACAATCCGTCCACCTGCATCGTCACCCCCAACCTCTGTTGACTGGGGTGGTAATAGGTGGAGTGAGCTTAGAGGCAGGTAGCATCTCTTAGGAGACTGGTAGCGTCCATCACCCTGAGTCCATTATTATTTCCGTCTACCTAGCTGATCATGCCAGCGTAAACACGCTCATCTTCCCAGATCAATCTTTTTTTTCCCCTCCCCTGCTGCTCTTCTCCTCTCCTCGTTAAACGTCATTATTTTCTCTCATCATCGTCATCATGCAGGTGTATGACCCATACGGGAATAGTGCTTCTGTTTTTGATACAAGAGAAAATTATCGTAAAAGTATGGTTTACAATATTGCTTGGAGTTTTTTAGAAATTTGTTATTCTGGAGCTGAATGATTTTGGTGTTAAGTATAGAGTGTGTATGAGCTTTGTGGGTTTAGAGCGCTTAATTTTGATTGGTTTAACTTTGTGACTTATTTTTTATTATAGTTTTTCAATATTTTGTTAATTCTTGGCTCTCATTAGAGATTGTTGTATTGATTCTCTATTTTGATTAAAAGATTTGACTATTATTATAATCAAGGGGGAAGCGCTAAACGCGGAGGATTATACAGCGCCTGGGGGGGGGGGGGAATGTGGAAGGCATTCAGGCTTAATTCGGGGAACTGGAGCACATCCAATTCCCTAAATCAAGAGCCCCTCACCAACATCAAGGAACCTTCCTTTATTAAAGGATTTGACTGTAGGCTTCCACTATAGGCCTCAACTATTTTCTTTATAGGCTTTGTGAATATTGTCACGTATACTAGCGCTTTCCATAGTTAAACGTTTTGGTCTTAACGGATATTTTTTATCTAAAATATTTTTTTGTTTACACGAGGATTTTAAGGTTATGTTAAGAGTTCCTTAACATAACCTTCATTAAATTTTCGTTATGAAAAACACAAATAGGGGAAAGGATGTTGGAGCTAGCTGTCAATTGACTGATTTCACTGATGTCGTTATGCAGTACTCTTGTCCAGATTGTCATTCTAGGGATAGAGGGTGTCAGATGAAGTGATGATGTTGTTGAGAAAGGTACAGGAATAGTGTAAAGAATAAAAAGGCACAATACTGTGACTGGAACAATACATAAAGAACCTACACAGAGAAAAAAGTTATGATTTAGTTTCTGTCCGACTTTGACTAGTTAATGGTCCAAATTGGACCGAAACGTCGTCGTAAGTTTCTGTCCTGTGTGTGTATAGGCATACTGCAGTTTTTCCCGTCATGTTGTACAGAAACTGTTTTTCTCTGTTAACGAAGTGGAACCAAGTGTGGTGGTATTTTGACAACATTGATGTTGTACATAACGGTAAGGCAGTCCACATTTCTCTAGTGTTAAAGGCTTAAAGGCTTTACTGAAGTGCCATGTCTATGGAGGTTCTTTTCGTTGAGTAGGTATAAGGTATGATTTAGTGCTATTAGTTTCTTGGCTGTCTTGCTTGCAAGATATACCACATTACTTTTTCATGGGCATTTTGGAGTCAAATTTGACCCCTGAGATATCCATGTCTTTCCCAGGCTCTAAAAGTTTGCATTCAGTCTTTGCACAGCTCGAGCATTAACACTGGCCTGCATAGAGATGATTTATGTTTTCTTAGAAGGAAATGTGACCTTTGACCTTTCATGGTTTTTGGCAGGTTTGTAAAGCAGTAAGCTGTTGATGATCGATATACCTGGGAGCAGCTCGTGGCATTTCATGTTGCATAAGTAAATGTTAGAATATAGCGATCTACACAGGCATGGGATTTTGGGATAAGTTTGAGGTCACTGAGATATACATTCCATAATGGACCAAGCTTACTTTTGTGTAGAAGAATGACATGGATTTGATTTAGTGTCTCATTGAGATGTACTCGGATGTACCTTGAAGGTAATCACTAAGGGTGCATAGTTGAAATGAAGCGACGAGGGCGGTAGCTAATACACAGGTGATTATGGATTGATCCAGTGACTTGTGCCACATACTGGAGAGGTTTAACAAGAGGGTCACAAGAGCGAGTGTTTGTAAAAATAATGCTATCGTTTTTCATGAGATTGTCTGTAAAGTTTTTCCAGTAATTTGCAGGAGATGTATTGGTCGACAGTTAGTGATTTGTTTTGCTTTTCTTTTTATTTTTGTGAAGTGGGGGTACATTTGCGTCTTTGCAGAGAAGGATATTTACAATGTGCTTAGTAGTACTGATGATAGATGCGAGTTAGAGGTGATGGTAGCTGGTCTGCACATGTACTCTGCAATGTTGGGCTCGTGTGGGTCCAGAGAGAGATTTAAGGAAATATACTTTATCCTGCCTCATTGTCAGCTCTGACGACTTTTACTTATTGTTTGCTGTTATCGTTTTTTATACTTGGTTTTTTCACTGTGTTGCTCTTGCTCTTTACTTGCTGTTGTTGTGTAAATCACATTTTTTTCTGTGCTTGTTCCTATTTCTCTTTTTTTTCCTTGTTGCACACACTGTAGCACGTGTTGTTGGATTTTGGTGGCTCTTTGGTTTGTATTTAGACTTATTTGGCCAACATTTCGCCCAATGTAGACGTTTATACAGCGAAACGTCATAATGAAAGCTTGTTTGTCTTGCACCCTATTATCTGTCTTGTGGATAGTAATGTGCTGCATTTATCAAAAAAAAAAAAAAAATAACTGCAATATAATGCGATCCTTTATTGACTAAGTTTGGTTCACACATTGGGCTTCATCAAGTTTCTGGGTAACGAGTACATATATAGGGCGAAGGTGGTTTGATTTGAGAGGAACCTTTATGGAACGGGCGAGTGTATGTTATGTAGGATAATGGTGTTTCCTTGCAAGGGGTTTAGCTATTGTAAAGCCCGTTATGGTTGAAATTATTTTTGCATCGTGTCGGTATTTTATACCATTTATTTTTTCAATAGTGGCAGTATCCCACCGAGGCAGCGGGGTGAGGCAAAAAGAAAAAGTTAAGTTTGTCTTTTTAAATATTGCAATTTATACAAGAGAAGGGGTTACTGGCCCTTTGCTCGGAGCATTTTAGTGGCCTCGTACGATGTGCATGTCTTATGGAGGAAAACTTTTGTTCCACTTGCTGATGGAGAATAGAGGAAATAAAGAACCAGAAGTATTAAGAAAATGGAAGAAAAACCAGCTGGGCATGTATATATATGCATGTGTAGTGTGACCTAAGTACAAGTTGCAAGATATACATACCTGGTATCCCGAATGTTTGAGACAAAGACAGTAGCAGTGATGCCATCATATTAAACAATTATAGGTTCGCGTTTCACAATCACTTGGAAGATAGGTGGTGGTAGTAGTACCTGCTGTCGACCAACCTCGTACTAGTTAGTTTATTTTGACAACTTATTCATACTGTGAATGGTAGCGCAAGAGAATATGGATACATAGAAGGCCTAGAATCTAGGCCCCGAAATGGGTAAATACGAGTATATCTGGATTTATATAGTTGTGTTGCAAGCAAATGTTGGATATTTACTTAATATCTGATATGTTGTCCATCTAAAAGTAAGAGTACGCTAAGAGGCAACAATAAGTGTCAGGGGCCGAAGACTGTTGAACCGCTTTTCAGCATATCTAAGGGGGATTACCAATAGACCCGTAGCTGTCTTCAAGAGGGAAGTGGACAGATACGAACATGCCTCTCCAAGTTATTTTCATGAATAAGATACCTTGAACAGTTTGTTTAG